TGGCGCCTGTGACTGCGGGGTCCGCCGTGTCCAGCGACTCGGACATCTTCTCGCAGATGACGTCCACCAGGCGCTCAAAGGTCTGCTTGACGTTGATGTTGTCCTTGGCGCTGGCCTCGAAGAACTCGAACCCTGTGGTCGGGAAAGGAGGGGTGAGGACCCGGCCACCCCATCCCAGCTCCCAGAAATGCTCCGGGGTGGGGGTGGGGGTGGGGGAGCGCCGGGAGGTTCCCAGGGCCAAGAGGCTCAGTGAAGGCCCTGACAAGTCCTGCAGAGAAGCAACACTGCATGTCTGCATTTTTCACCCTTCCTCACCCTAAAATCATCTGCTTCTGCTTCTCACTGTCCCCAGGACCCAGGCAAGACATTGCCCCCCACTGTCCAGCCGAGACACTGCAGGCTGTGATGCTCAGGTCACCTGTGGCCTCCCCTGCTCACGCCCGTGGCTCCCTGTGGCCCTCAGAAGTCCCAGCTTCTCCGCAGCGGGCAAGGCCTCCTTGATGGCCCGTTTCCCCCAGCTGACCCTCATGTTCCCACCATGTGACTGTGGCCGAGATGCGCAGGACCCTTCTCACTCGAGCCTGCGTCCGAGCCTGTTCCTCTGCCAGAAAGGCCCTCTGAGCACCGGCTCCTGTCCCCTCCAAGAAGCCAGGCTTCCCCGTGGCCTCCTGCAGCCCGGGCCCCTTCCCCCACCTGCCAAGTCAGTGCCTCGGGCCCAGCAGCAGCCAACATGGGGCTGGGCAGTAAGGGTCTAACTTTCTGCATGGTGAGCTCCTGTACATTCCTCAAGACCCCTCTCAAATGACTCCTGGATCAAGGTGCAAATTGCCTGGGCTTAAATCCAGGCCCTGCCATAGCTTTGCTCAGGTGTGTCCTTCCACCTGGAGTCTGCAGTATCCTGGCCTTGAGGGTCTCCGGCTGCCCCGGGCACTCACCAAGGTGGTCGGCCAGCTGCCGGCCACGTTCGGACGACACCACCCGCTCGTCCTCCATGTCACACTTGTTCCCCACCAGCAGAACCTGGGCATTGTCCCACGAGTAGGTCTTGATCTGGGTGGACCTGTGGGAGGCGGCGGCGGAGCAGTGTGAGCTGTGCCCTGGGCTGGCCAGGCCTGGCTCTCTGGGGAGGCAGACTGCGAGCCTGGGCCTCTGCCCACCTGCCTGCACTCCGGGTCCCGCTCCCCATGACCCCCGGACATGGGCTCGCTCTCCTGGCCCGCGTCCTACGGAGACACGCTCTCCGATGCTGCCCTACCCTCCTGGAAGCCCGGCAGCCCTTTCCTCCCCTGGTGTTTGCCCGGGAGACCCCTGCTTTCCCAGCCCCTGAAATGGGGTTCTTGCTCGCCACCCCGGCTGTGTGAACTCCTGGACTCAAGCAATCCTCCTGCCTCGGCCTCCCGAGTAGCCGGGATTGCAAGCGTGAGCCACCGCGCCCACCCAGAAGTTCCCTGCTCTCAAAAGCCTGTTTTTCCCTTTTCTGTGAGTTGGAGTCTCACTCTGTCGCCCAGGCTGGAGTGCAGGGGCATGCATGCTCACGGCCACCACAGCATCAACCAGCTGGGCTCTGGCAGTCCTGCCCCCGCCTTCCAGTAGCTGGAACTACAGGTGCACACCGCCACACCTGGCTAGCTTTTTACTTATTGTAGAGACGAGGTCTTGCCAAGTTGCCCGGGCGGGTCTCAAACCCGTGGGCTCAGGCTATCCTCTCGCCTCGGCCTCCCAAGGTGCTGGGATGACGGGCTGAGCCACCGAGCCCAGCTGAAAGGCTGTTTTTCAAGCAACCTCTCACCCTTCCCTTTTCTCCTCCTCCAGAAAAGATTAATACTTTCTCTTTAACATCCAGATTTTTTTTTTCTTTTTTTAGAGACAGGGTCTCACTATGTTGCCCTGTCTGGTCTCAAGCAATCTTCCCACTATAGCCTCCCAAAGCAGTGGGAGGGTAGACATAAACCACTGCACCCAGCTAAATTCAGAAATTTTTTTTTTTTTGAGTTGGTGTCTCACTGTCACCCAGGCTGGAGTGCAGGGGCACGCTCCCAGCCACCGCAGCCTCGACCTGCTGGGCTCCGGCGATCCTTCCGCCTCAGCCTTCCAGGTAGCCGGAACTATGGGAGGGCGCTACCACGCCCGGCTAATTAGAAATTTTCTTGAAAGGTATAGCCAGGCATAGTGGCTCACCTATAGTCACTTTGGGTGGCTGAAGCAAGAGGACTGCCTGAGCCTGTGGGTTTGAGGCCAGCCTGGGCAACATGGTGAGACCTCGTCTCTAATAAAAAGAAAAAAAATCAGCCGGGTGTGCACCTGTGGTTCCAGCTACTCGAAAGGCTGAGGCGGAAGGATCGCCGGAGCACAGCAGGTCAAGGCTGCGGGGCCGGGAGCGCGGTCCACTCCGGTCTGGGCGACGGAGCGAGACTCCGACTCAAAAAAGAAAGCCCCTATTCCTGGGCAGGAGACGTCCTTGCTGACAGTCCCCGACCCACGCAACCCGTCTGTCTGCCCCCACCCGCCCCGTGGATGCTGCTCCGACCGGACCCCTTCCTGCCAGCCCCCCCCTCGCGCCTGGCCAGCGGGAGAGGGCGGGGCCTGCTCACCAGTCCTGCACGGCATTGAAGGACTCCTCGTTGGTGATGTCATACATGAGGATGAAGCCCATGGCGCCCCGGTAGTAGGCGGTGGTGATGGTCCGGTAGCGCTCCTGGCCCGCCGTGTCCTGGGGAGGAAAGCTGGAGGTCAAAGAGGGCCCACGCAAGCCGTCGGGGGAGGCCTTGGGCGTGGAGATGGGCCAGCGCGGTTCCCTGGAGCCCCGGAGAGGCCGGAGCCGGCCCAGGGCATGGAGAGGGAGGCAGGGCGGCACGGTCGCCTGCGCCCCGAGGACACCAAGGCGCCCTGGCCCTAGCCGCCGCCGGCATCCCTTCCACAAATGTGGCTGGGCACCCCCAGGGCCATGCCCTGCGCCAGAGGCGGGCACAGCTGTCAGTAAAACGGCCCCCATCACTGCCCCCGGGGGAAACGGCCAGTTCGTGTGTGTTTTGTGTTGGGGGCGACGAGGACTGAGGAGGAAAACCCAGGCCAAGGAGGGCGGGCCATGAGAGGAGGCTGAAAAACCCGGGGGGGTTTCCAGGCTGGGGGCGGTGGCTCATGCCTGGGAGCCCAGCACTTTGGGAGGCCAAGGCAGGAAGCCGGACTGCTTGAGCCCAGGAGCTTGAGACCAGCCTGGGCAACACAGTGCGACCTCGTCGGTGCCAAAAGCGAAAAAGACAGCCGGGTGCAGCCATGCCTGTGGTCCCGGCTACTCTGGAGGCTGAGGTGGGAGGACTGCCTGAGTCCAGGAGTCAAAGCTGCAGTGAGCTGTGATTATGCCACTGCACTCCAGCCTGGACAATAAAGTGGGATCCTGACTCAAATAAATAAGCAAATGGGCCGGGTGTGGTGGCTGACACCTGTGATCCCAGGACTGTGGAGGGCTGAGGTGGGAAGACTGCCTGAGCCCAGGAGCTGAAATTCAGCCTAGGCAGCACAGCAAGACCCTGTCTCTACGACAGACAAAGCCAACACCAAAAAGAAGGGAGGGAGAGCATTCCGGGCAGCAAAGGCCCTGCGGGGCAACTGTGCCTGGTGAGACTGAGAAAGCGGGTCTTATATGGAGAGAAACAGACTGCGGCCTCCCGGGCTGAGAGGTGGTCATCCCCTGGGTGAGGTGGGAGCCATGGAGGGCTGAGAGCAGACAGCAGGGACGAGCAGGCTCCCTCTGGCCTCCGTGGGTTGAGGGAGAGGCCTCCGCATCACGACAGGCGTCTGTCCCTGGAATGAGGGTGGGGCCCGGGCCCCAGACCCCGCAGAAGCCCCACACGGAGCCTCGCCGAAGAACGGAAGCCGGGGAAGCGGAGACACCCCGCTGAGGCGCCGTGGGGGCCGGCGTGCTCCGGGCTGCTGCTCCCGGACCGCCAGCAGGGCCTCAAGTGTGCCCAGTGCGTGCGTGAGTGTCTCCCGCCGCGGAGCCGCGGCCAGACCCACCCAGATCTGCAGCTTGATCCGCTTGTCGTTGCGGTAGATGGTCTTGACCTTGAAGTCGATGCCCACGGTGCTGACGAAGGCGGGCGTGAAGGAGTCGTCGGCGTAGCGGAAGAGGAAGGAGGTCTTGCCAACGCTGCTGTTGCCG